CTTTTGCACTTGCGCAGGACGCTCATGTAGCGCTCGATCGTCTTCGGCCCGATGTCAAGCCCCATGTAGCCGTCCGGGATGTCCACCCCTGGTGTGATCAACGGGGCCTCCACCGCCTTGAAGGCGGTATGGCAGAGGTGGTCAATGGGGAGTAAAACCTCCACCTTGCGCTCCGCGGCCTTTTTCAACAGCGAGCGCGCGAGATCGAGCTTGTCCTCCTCGCACATCGAGATTCCAATCTTGTGATTCTGGGCCTTCAAAAAGGTATAGGACATCGCGCCGCCGATGACAAGGTACCTGATCCGCGTGAGCATGTTGTCCAGCAGCATGATCTTATCACTGACCTTTGACCCGCCGACGATCGCGACGAAAGGTTGCGGGGGGTTGTTGAGGACCTGAGAGAAGTAATTCACCTCCTTTTCCATCAAAAACCCGGCGTAGCCCGCGCCGAGGACCTTCGGGATGCCGGTCATCGTCGCGCTATCGCGGTGGGCCGTGCCGAAGGCGTCGCTGATGTACACGTCCCCGTAGGACGCGAGCCGTGTCGCCATCTCCAGCCGCTCGGCCTCTTTTTTGCTGCCCTCCGTGGCGTAAAAGCGGACGTTCTCGAGCAGCAGCACCTGCCCGGGCTTCAGCCGCTCCACGTAGGCGGACGCGTTCAGGCAGTCCGGCGCGAAGGCGACTTTCCGCCCGAGCAGCTGCGAGAGCCGCTCGGAGACGGGCTTGAGCGAGGCCGATTCCTCGTAGCCGCGAACCCCCGAGGGGGGGCTGGGGTCCGACATCGAAACCCCCTTCGGGCGGCCCAGGTGGCTCATCAGAATGCAGCTCCCGCCCACCTTCAGGACCTGCTGGATCGTCGGCAGGGCGGCGCGGATACGGAAGTCGTTCGTGATCTCGCCGTTCTCGATCGGGACGTTGAAGTCGGCACGAATGAGAACCTTCTTGGACTTTAAGGGCACATCCTCAATGCCAGCTTTGAGTTTGAGAGACATGGACGCGGGATATTGGGGGTGGGTAGGTTATAATAGTAGTGGGCGTTCTTAAAGTAAAATATGTTATAGCGAGCTATTGGAACTCAAAGAGAGATATACACGAACGGGGAAATAGTTCATGCAATAGAAGAAGAATGTGGGGAAAGGTGGAATCCATGTTGATAAAGTGGACTTTAAGAATAAAATAGAACAGATTATTATTCTGCTGGGTTGACCGACTTGATTAAAAAAAAACACTACTTGAAAAGAATTAGGCCTCAATGGGTTTTTCAAAAAACCATATATGATAAATACATAATTTATGAAGATAAACAAAGCAACAAATATGCGTTTAAAGATGTTTTTTGGCCGTATCATTCTTTTATTAAGTTTATAATTCCCCTCTATTTTAATGGAACGAGGAGAGAAGCAGTATAAAAAAATATGTTAAAGCTGTCTTGAATTACAGCACAAGCAAATAGTGGATAATAATTGATTAATGATAATAGTATTAATAATAGAAGAAAATCGCATATTTTTTCCAATGGGCTCTATGAAATTAGTCCTTGTTGTCCAAAACCGAAATCCCAGGCAGCAACTTACCTTCGAGCAAATCTCAAGAAACGGTGCTTACCCAAACATTAGAGACTCTGGAAACTTAATCGCACCTTTCCATTGCGATGGTGATATCGCTGCCAATGATGATACTCGCCAACCCACATCACGACTCCTCTATTTTTGCCCTTTCTGGAAGTTATCCATAGTTGTTTACCTAGATACAAAATTTCGGAATGTTATTATTATTATTATTATAAAATACTCGGAAAAAAAAGGAGTAGAGTAGAAAAACAGATAAAAAGATGATTGTAGACCTGCATTCCATCGATCTATGCTCACTTTAACATGAAGAGAACTTGATCAATAGCAACCACCCTGTTTCACGAAAGTTTGAAGTTCGATAATAAAAAAATAGACTTCTCAGAAATTCCAGCGAGTCCCACCAGTAACATTCTATCCCACTTGACTAAGCGAGATATTATAGAATGCTGTCTGACATGCGTACTCGCCTCCAAATGGTGCACGGAGTATATTCACCTTCCGTCTATGTCAGTTTAACTGCTTTAGTCGTGCCTCAGTATTTTCCAACAAGCTCCATATAGACTCCGGGGTCTTCTTGCCCATTTCCGTCAGTATTTGACCTTTGCACATAGTCAACACGAATACGGTCTCGAGCAACATTTTGGTCTCCTCCTTGCTTAGCACCACCTCCATCGAGGACAGTTTATCGTCCAGTATGACAACGCACTCCTCAATCGCCTCGACGGAGGCGTCGGTGAGGTCCAAATAGGGCGCTAGGCAGCCCATCACCAGGGCCCGCTCCACGGAGTGCCGGCCATGAACCTCAATGCTGTAGGCGCACGCGGCCTCCAGCACCTCCTTCGCGAGGGGGCGTCGTAGGTAGTGCAAAAGGCGCCCGCACTCCCTCGCGATACGGGCCGTATCCGCCGTCGCCTTTTCCCCTTTCCGGCGCGGGAGTAGGGCTTGCCAGAGCTCCACTGCGACCGGGAGGTCTCGCGCGCAGCCGTGGGCGAGGTAGGCCGCACCGCGGTCCATACACCGCGCGAGGTCTCCCCGGGGCTCCCTCCCGGCCGCCCTCGTGCGCCGCGCCAGCGCGACGGTATGGCGGACGAGTTCGTAGGCCAACCGCTCGTCCTGCCCGCGCCGGCGCCGGGGCCAGAGCCCCCACAGG